TTCAGAGATAAACTGTGATTTTGGCAACATTATTTAGCAAAAATAACAGTTTTTATGAAAAAAAAAAGTCTCTCCAGAAATAAGAAACTCGAAAATCTTACATTTAACTTTAAAAGCAAACACAAAGAGAATAACAAGACCAGCATAACAATTAAAACACAAAAATAATCAACTGTTTTGATTCGTTCATATCAGTACCCAATCCCAACCAAATACCCAGGAACAAAAGTGCGCTCCTGAAACAGAAAAAACAATTTTGATTTAATAATACGGCTGCTGTTAGTAAGAAATCGTCTCCCGCCAAAGAAATACACATTTTTTTCCGGCAGTTCGTATGCTAAGTCTAGGCGCATATGAGCGATGAATTTGAAACCGGAAAATAGCGCATGGAATGAGAACATCCCATGCAAAAGCTATTTAAAGAGCACGTTGAAAGCAGCCCGACTTCCCAGTAAACAATAAATAAAAAGGAAAAACAAAAAATGCGGAAATAAAGAAAACAAAAAATCAAAAACCAAAAAAAAAAAATTTGCTGAGAAAAAGTCAAAACGTCCCTTTTAAAATCGTGGTTCAGTGAGAAGCAGCTTAGACTCACCGATATTTTAAAGTTGGAGAAAAATTCTTACCAAGTTCTACGACGAGCGGAAACATCAGGAAACGGATCGCATCATTTCGCGTTTCGAGCTGCGCACGTCGGCGCTCTTCCGCTAATTTGGCTGCTGAATTAGTATCACCACCGAAACCACGTGGCATAAACATTTTGAATTTGTGAAGAGACCGCAAAAGTGATTTAGCTGAAACATTTGCTACTTAACGAAGCAAACTGATGTGATGACAAAATAGCGGTACTATGCCATCAGTGAACGAATAAAAACAAATGCAGCTGTAAATTCCTACTTTGCTACTATGAGACATCCAGAAAGCAGTGAAGAAGGGGCGAGAAGGACCATCGATCTCTGTAGACAATTAAGCAAGAAATGCGAAAAATTAAGCTGAAACAGCGCGCTGTAACGCCAAAACTCAAAATACGATTCTCTTCATATTCATTTCCCCTGAGAGGCGGAAGAGGACCTGGGAAGTAGTCGGAGTGGTGCCACAGACGAAAACGCTAGCAACACTTCTTCCAAAAACTTTTTGAAAGAAGCTGATGACGGTTTTGACTTCCTGGCATAAGTCAGCATCAATTTACCATCGAAATGAGTGAAAGAACCATCAGGGAATTGGACATCCTACTGGAGCAGTTAAGGAATGAAAGCAAATTCACTATTTTTCACAGC